TGAGAGAGAAACTTTATTCTGGGTCTAGAATACACTAAGAATAACGAAAACGACACAAAATATTTTACAAAACTCGCATTTGAATTAAAGAAAATTTGACGTTAACATTAAGTCAAAGAGTTTAAAGTTAATAACAAAAAGTATAAAGAAATAGAAATAATAGAAGCAATAATAAGGAATTAGGAAAAAATAGCAATAATAAAGAATTCTCTGTCTTTTGCGAACATAATCACATACTGTAAGCTTAAAAGTTGGGAAAAGAAGGTAACAAGTTTTTTAATGTAGCAAAAGCGCCTAACAATATTATGAACTATGTTGTCTCTGGTTGGAGGAAGATGAGGTGCTTGCATAGCAAAAACAATGACGTGTATACAATGAACATCAAATGTTACCTACTATAATATCCCGAAGTATAGGAAATCATAGATTTAAAACTACACTGACAGGCCAAAAATTACACCAAATTGATTTTTTCTTCATTTTCTCGATAAAAGAAAATTCTGCCCTTCATCTATCTCATTGTTTTTACCAATAAATATTTTTTTATGCTAGGTTTTAAATTGGGAATATCAATTAGAGGTAAACACACTTAATCCTTAATCCGAAACATAGATGCAGGATTTTTCAAAGTTTACTTTTTACGGAATTTAAAATGTTTATTCAGTCTCATTTGAATTCTAAAGCAATAAACTGTTTATTTTTCATCTTTATTTTCTTAATTTCAATTTTTACACTTAAAAATGCCACTTAATGCTGAGGTTGTTGGACATGGTGAGGCACTTATTGATGACGGACGTTCCATCAGGTAAGCGGCTATTGCCATCAGAGTTCCCTACGAAACTCTGCGAGACGCCGTTGGACGTTTTCGAGAAATTGGGTCCTACCATGGAAGGCCCGGTTCTGGACGCCCTAGGGTAAAAGAACCACACAATGACCGTTTTGTGACTGAGAATTTTGCGAAGCCGGCACCTTCTGTTTTTCAAACGATTCATCAGCTTCAGGAAGTTCGAGGTGTCCAAATTTCTGAAAGCACTGCTCGAAGAAGATTAAATCAGTATGGACTGATGGCTTTTCGTCCGTAAGAGGTCCAGAATTGACCAGTACACATGGAGTTGGACAGCTCGCATTTGCTCGAGAGCACAGCCGTCTTTGGACGATTGGTCTGCTGTACGTTTTACAGCTGAGTGGATATTTGCTCTACGACCTCCAGATGTGCGTGAAAGAGTGTGGAGAAGGCGAAATGAAAGGTACGAAGCTTGTAAATTTTCCCAGAGCCGATCTTTCCAACCTCAGTGATGGTGTGGGCGAGAATTACAGTGGAGAGACGCACAGAGTTGGTTGTTGTTCGTCGAGGGTCTTTGACGGCCACTCGCTAAGTGGATGAAATTTGGAACGTCATGCATTCCTTATCCTCGATGAAATCAGCGACAATCCTATTCTCCATACTTGAACCCCATCGAACATTTTTGGGATAACCTCAAAAGACGAATAGGTCCATCACATAGACCTGATAGACTCCACGATCTTAAAAGCACTCTTCGTGAAGAATGTGCTAACCTTCAGCAAAGATACATTTCCAGACCGGTAGAAAGTATACAGAGCTTCTTCGAGATGTAATTAGAGCAAGAGGAGGCAATATGCGGCATTGAAAGAATTAAAAATCGAAAACAAAATTAAACAAATTTTATCTGTCCGTCTTTTTATTTATTTTTCTCTTAGCAATTATATAAAAATGTATAAATAAAGTTATACTACAAGTGGGTGGAATTTTTTGCCTGTCAGTGTATTTTATAAACAGCGTTTTTTTATGTCATTATACCTATATACCTACATATACACTTCTTAACATCTGACCTGAAGTTTAATTTATACAATACCGCAAAACAAAACCAGCGTCTGGGTGTTTCATCTACCAGTTTAGGGATAACCTTTTTTATTATGGTTTTAGGGCTGCTTGGATGTCTGATGGAATTATTATGTCCGTCTTTTAATTTTTATATGGCCCAAACATTAACCTTGTATTTCTGTTTAAAAAACTGTGGTGTATTTCAAGATTGAATTTGATTGCTCACATTTTCGATTGGCACAGAAAATTTGTACAATAAACGATAGTCCATGTAGCCAAAATACATTGGCTCTGATAGCGTTATAAGGAAGCACAGTTCTTGAAATTTCATAATATTGATGAGAGTAATTTCATACCGTAGACATTAGTTAGGAGGGACGTTACAAAAATGTTGGTTAATTTTTTTAAAGGTTTCATCATCTTTACAAAAGATTCTTTCTTAAGATTTCTACATATTGAAGACAGTTTTTCGATGTATTTACTTTCGCCCGGTAGTCAAATTTGCTTTTTCAAAATATCGTTTTATTTTTATAAAAATAAGGCAATAACGCTGCGGTCTGGGAACGGGATCGGTTGCGCAATCCTTCGGACTGACGGAATCCGCATCAGTCCGTTACCGACGGTCGGAGCACCCGTTGCGGAATCCTCGGGGAAACCCGATAAATTTTAAAACCAGACGGTTTTTCGGAGCTTGGAGTAGAAAAAAAAGGGGCCTCGTTCTAGTGTGCCGGGTTCACGTCTGGTGTCGCTATGAAACCGGGTACAAGTTCAGACTTCAGAGTTCAGACTTCAGTCGAGTTATGACTCTCGCACGAGCGTTACGCAGTTGCTCCCGGATGATGAGGTAGGATCGCTTAATCACAAACTAATCCGGGCGTAAAACCCCGGGATTACGGGACCTATACCGTGGAGACGGTTTACGCCTATTTCTGGGTGTCAAGGCCAATGGGGGGGGGCTGACATCGATTTTCCCCGGGTACGACATCGATACGCTCACCGGCCCAGTACCGGAACGTACCAATGCCCACAGCATTGACTTAATTTTATCTTTTCCTCATTTTTATCTGTTGTTTCAAGAATCTCCTTCCGGATTTCCAGAAAAACTGGGCTAGTGGACAAATGCAAAGTTGCTACGCGAGAGACTCGTTCGTTTTGATGTCAGTACCTTGAATATATCACTCTCACGATAGATTACTTAAATAGTTTTTGGTTTAAAAAAAAATCCACAAGAAATTTTCCAATTTGAAGTCTTTTGCTTTGCACTTTAATGAAAACAACGAATAAATTTCTTATTCCAACATTGTCGTTTCCGGTTTAACGATTGTCTCCTTTGTTTATACTATACTTTATATTCATTATTTTTGTTTTCATGTTGTTTTGTTATCCAGTGAACGATTATTCATTATCCTCCTCCTAGAAAAAATTAAAAAGAAAGAAATTTCATTATCATTATTGTTCTTTCTTGTCTTAACTTTAAGAACACAACATTTATTATAACTTTAATTAACCCCATTAAAAAACGAACTGAAAACAGTCGTTTCATCGCACAAATTCAATCAATCTTTGATCTTTTTCAACAGCAAATTTATTTGTTTAATGTTGATATTTGACGGTGGCGTCAAATTCTCAACATTCTGACTTTTACAGGCAATTTTTCAATAAGAATTCAGGACAAACATTTTTTTCTCGCACAAAACGGAAAATCTGCAAAACGTGAGATTAAACATTATTATGGAAGTGTTGAAGAAGATAGCGATGCCGAATTGATACACATTTCGTGTCAGAATTTTTGTGAAAGAAAGGGAAAAATTTGAGAGGGGGAGAGTTTTACGAAAAGGTATTAATGGATCGTGTTTGTACTTTAATCATAGAAGACATCGCTGATGCATAAAAATCTTTTGACCTCCTACGTTTTAATACCTATGAGAGCTAACTTATTCTGATTTAACTTCGTTATTTATATTAAATTTAAAAGAGTTTGTCATCCGGATATTTGTAAAATAAATCTTGTCAATGAAAACCAACCTCAACGCCATGACCTCTTAATTTAAATAGTCTTTGCTAACGTTTACGCTTTTATACATATCGGCTTTTCCCAAAAGGCATCATGTTGTTTTGAAACTTCCATGTTGCACTTCAGTTTAAATTTAGGTTTTAAAGTAATTTGTTCAAATTGTAAAAAAAAATTGTATATGTAAACATATACCATATATGGATGCATATTAGTTCTTTTTTCTGTACTACGTTTGTAGTAGTAATTTAATTTTGTTCCTGACCGGTCAGCCTTGAGTCGCCTTATTGTAGTCTGGTCGCCTTCTTCGACATCGTTTCTACTTTTTTCTGATCCGAGGCCGAGCGACCTATCGTTCAGGCGGAATCGAAAACCGTTTCCTTGTTTTTATTTCTTAATCGGTTTTCCCAGCCAAAAATTAAAACATGTTTAGTGATTATCGATCCTCTTTTAGGCAAAACGAGATATTTGCAGGTAGGAAACATGATGTTTTATTTCCCCCGGTTTTATTTATGCCGGAGCCGTAATCATTGTCCAACTAAACGGCCTTGATTGTCTTGTCATAATATTTCTAAACTTATTCAACAAAATATTAACGACAGGCCTTATTCTTCTTCTTCTTCTTCAAGTGCCATGTCCTCGTAGACGTTGGGGATCAGTAGCCTGAACTGGTTTCAATCCAAAGCTATTCTAAATAGATCAGCAGCGGACCATTGGCTTAAGTTCTTAAGCCAGAATATTCTTCTACGCACTGGACCACGCTTCCCATCTATTTTTCCTTGAAAGATAACCTGCAGCAGATGATATTTCTCATTGCGCATTATCCAAAATATTGAAATTTTCTTCCATTTATGGTATCGAGGATTTTTAGCTTTTTATTCATGCGCTGTAATACAGCCACATTAGTGAGTCTGGCTGTCCAAGGTATCTTCAGAATTCAGCTGTGCGTCCACATTTCGAATGCTTCCAGCTTCCGGCATAATGTGTCTGAAAGGGTCCAAGTTTCAACCCCCTAGAGAAGTATACTGAATACATAGGATCGAAGTATTCGAGTACAAAGCCTGATAGATAACTCCCGGTTTGTCAAGACTTTCCTCATTTTCTGGAAGCTTGTTCAATTCTACAACGGATTTCGCATGCAGGGTCCCAGTTATCTTTGACATCAAGCCTTATCAGATTATTAAATTAGAACAAAGAAAATAGTATGGCTGATCAAAGATTGTTATGGCTATATAGCACTCCTACAAGAAAAGTGGCATAACAAAAGAAAATTTTACAAGAGAGACAAATGAAAGTTTACTTTTTCTGATTTAAGTATTAAATACATGCCATTAGGTTTGTTGACAATAAAAACTATCATGATGTTTCTTTAATTCTTCAACAATTTAGCTTTCCTTTCCCTAATTAATCCCGTCTATATAATCCTGAAAATAAATTTATATCCTTATAATATCTACACAGCTTTTGCCTTAAAACACAGGAGCAAAAATTCCACAATGGTTAAATATGTGCTAAACATTTTAAACGATCAAACATGCGCGATAGCTTTTTTAATTGTTTGAAAATAGGTTCGTGGCAACTTGACTGTAAATGTCTGCAAAACTAAGTTTCTAAGCTGCTACTCGTCTCCAATTAGATATTCAATTTTGTACCTCGGCTAAACTTATTTCTAAAAATAAAATAGTTGACATGAAAATTGCATTCTTCATTCAAAATTCAATGCTTGTTAATTGAGGTCGTTAACTGACGTTAAGAATTTGAAAAAAGAACCGTTATTTTTTTAATTTAAATAATTTTAATTTGCCCAAGTTGTCTATAATATCAATGAACCTGTATATTAAACATAATTAAAATAAACTTATCAACAACTTGCACTGATTGTACGCTGCATGCGTTCAAAAATTATTTTAAAAATTTATTTTAAATTTCAATTTTGAATCTATATTAACATAAATTTTTTTAAACTTAACTGATTTGATATATTTCAATTTTTTCCAGGACGTAATAAAAATTAAAAAACTGAATTCGGGTATTCCGAGCGTTTGAAAAAACCCTTATGATTATAAAATCGATAATACTTTAAAACCTTTAACAAGCATAAATCGTTCTTCTTATTTAAAATGTTAATTCCTTATAGAAATAGAACTTCGCATAAAGATTAAAACTAATAAAAAAATTAAGCTAGGTTGTGTTCATTTGTCAATTATACAACCGTAGGTACTTCCTACACTACGAATATTCTGCAAGCTTTTTGAAATGTCAAGGACTTTTCCAGACTATCCACTAGTCCCTTACAATATCATACTTCAAAAAACAATTAAAATTTATACTTTTACCAATTTACTGGATAAATAAGTGTATAGGGGCGAAGGTGGCCGCAACGGTTTAGGCGTGACACGGCGCTCATCACTGTAAGGTAAAGGTCCCGGGTTCAATGCAGGGCCGCTGGATTACACACTTACAAATGGGCTTTTTTCAAAAGCACAGGCACCCGGAGGGTTTATATGACCTCTGCTGTTGCGAACCTCGTAAAAAAAGGGAAAAAAGTGTATAGAAATTTTTAATGTTTTTTCTTTGGTGATGTCTGTCGATAACGGTGAATGTTAAAAAAATTGAAATATTATCAATTATACACAATAGTTTTCTTAACTATTTCGAAAATGTAAATAGATTAAAATCTATCAGGGGATTTCTTCTGGAAATGATATCCCAATAAAATTAAGTTAGACAAAAAGACAAACTCGTAAATCTGACTTGAGAATGTACGCTTTCACGCAGAATTTTCTTGTCCTTTTCAACGTTTTACACGGAAACGAAATCGAAAAGAAAATCGCTTCAATATGCGGAAACAATGTCGAACAACCTATAAATAACATTTAGTGACAGTTGAATTTAAAATTTTGGCAAGAGACTCTGAAGCAAATGTAGAACATATCCTGCAATAGTTCTTATATTATAATATTTAATTTTTTAGATGTTTACTTACTGCTGGTAGTAATGCACAAGTTTAAATTGTGTTCGTAAGTATATTTTGAATACTGGAATGACCTTTTCTTAAGTAGACGATGCAATCGTTAGACCTCTTCACAAAACAATGTATATAGTTTTTTACCTATCAGTATCATTTTTCTTCTTTTTTTAAAACGAATGAGAAATTATTAATGTAATGAAAACCGGATAGTTAAGATTGCTTTAGATTTTAAAAAGACGAATTGTTTTCAAAACTATGTCAATACGAGACCTCTTCCAATGCCCCGTGTTCTGTCGGTAGCATGACCCGCAAAGCCCAACGACACTGCCGGTTTTAATAGTTTTTTTTCCCCCAGTGAACAGAAGTTTTTGTTTAAGAGGAGTAAGTAAAATTCAGAGCAAAAATGAGTAAAACAATGTAGATTTCTTCGGACAAAAATACAATTAAATGTTTGTATATTTTTCCCTATTGTAATTACCATTTTGTCTCAACTTGGTGTATTTTCATAATTATGAAATCTTCTAGTTAATTTTATTAAAAATAAACACAAAATTTCTCACAAGACCTTATTATCAAATTCCATACCATAATTCCGATCATTCAAAGGATGAGTGTTTTGTAAGTGTTCGCAAAGGTGTTGTTTCTTTTATTAATCAGTGATTATCTAATTTTGCTATCCGTTTATGCAATTAAGACCACAAATTTTCACACTTACGGTGTTTCAAGACCAATTCCAATTTTTGTCCAGATGACATCAGTAATAAAAAATTTCACGGAAAGCGTCCCCGAAACGCAAAGGCAAATGTCTAATAAATGAAATTGGTATGTCAATTTGATAGAGTTAAAGAGAGGTGTTTAATTG